CCTTCACGCGGTTTGCATCAAAAGTTTCTTCACGTGTTGAACTTCACGTGGCCTGGCCTACCACTTCTCTTCACGCGGAAACGAGGCCGCGCTGGATTCGTGGTCACGTGGGTCTGGCCCACCTATTCTCTTCACGCGTTTACAATTCTCCACCTCGGTGAAGTTTTCCCAAAACTGAGCCGACACCAACCAAACCAAATGTCTCATTTGTTGTGCCTAGTACACCGTGAAACAATTCACGACAACAGACCCAATCCATAACAAGTCGAGAACCCAAATGAGAATGCAAACACTCTCCAAAAGTCAGTATCAACTCACCAAATCGATCTCATCCCCATCAAAATCCAAACCCGGCTGCATCATAAAGACTGCCTACGTATCCTCTTGCCCAAGGAATCAAGCCGAACGTAGTTCACCCAAATGACCGCGAACGACCTCAAACCAATAGAAGAGTTCGCAACCCTTCTCCAATATCATCAACTCTGCGGCTGATAGCACCTCCAATGGCCTCAAACACCTCCACCTGAGGTGAACCAATGACCATATCCAAACTATATCTGTCAGCTGCACTCGAGTCAAAAACCAACTCATCATCTGCATCTAAATCCAAATGACTTCCACGCTGTGTCACCTCAGCTGGAATCCCAACCAATGCAGAATGACCTGGAGTATGTGAGAAAATCCTCACCCAATGTGGAGTAGCATCAGTCTCCACCCGCTGCAAAACCTCTAAGGTCTGTCCAAAACTCTCCACCTGCTGAGAGTCAATTGGCTTCCTCATCGAAGCCTCAACCAAAGTGACACTACCAGACCTATCTTCTAATTGAGTTTTACCTTCAATTACAGCAGTTAACAACTCTTTAATAGGATGACCCAAATATGTCGAAGCCTCTGTCCAGAAACTCTTCTGCAAACCATTGCTCGACCACAAACACCGATCCTCCTCCAGCAAGGCACGGTTCTCCGAATTTGTCACCCTATTTAGTTGCCCCAAGATTTCCTTTCCAACGAAGTGTCTCGAAATGCCGTGAGCTCAGCTCCAATACAGAAATAGGTCCATCTTGTACCTCCCACCAGAATGGAGTACATTCACCTTTCTGTCTATCACACACTTCTTCAAACTATTAGAGACTACTAGGACTTTATCCATCGGGGATTTAGTTGCAACCCAAACACGCCTAGAACAGCCACCAACAAAGGAAACCAAACGCCTATTACCTCCCAATGATGCCCCATTGGAAGGCCCCCAAACATCCACGTGAACTCCTCCAGAACGACCCTTAGCACGGTGAATAGAGGTGCCACACTTCACCTCGGTCTTCTTGCTCACATCAACATGTTCACTGGACTTCAAACTGCAGGTCTTTGCACCCTCTTTCAATCTATGCGAGGAATCAATACTGGAATGGCCAAGCCCCAAATGCCGCAGTCTAGTCGAATCAACAGAAGTCGTCAGCTCTCCACCTGCCACTATACCTCCAGTCAAGTAATACAGGTTATTTCTCCTGACGCCCTTCATCAAAATACGAGAGTCTCTCGCAATCTCGAGAACCATGTTCTCAACACGAACCTTCAGACCCTCTCCAACCAAAGCTCCAATCGAGATCAAGTTCTTCCTTAAAGAAGGAACATATCTCACATCATTTAACTCCCTAACAGTCCCGTCAAACATTTTGATGTGAATTCTTCCTATCCCAAGGATCTGGCATGCACGGTTATCAGCCATGTACACCATACCACTATCCACCAGCTTCTCAAAACTGGAAAACCATTCCGTTCTAGGGCACACATGATAGGTCGCACCACTATCTAACATCCATTCAGATTCCTCCGAATAGCTATCTGTAGGACTGATAGAAAGCGAATAAATAGAAGAGTCAGAATTATTACCATCCGATACGATATTTGCTTCTGATGATGGCTGCTTCCCTTTTCCATTCTGCTTATTCTTCATCCATTCGTCGAGCTTTGGGCAGTCTTTCTTCCAATGACCAGTCTTCTTGCACCAAGCACACTGATATTTTCTAATTGTAGGATGCCCTACTTTAGACTGTGACTTCCAATTCTTCCGGTTTGGATTCTTCCCTCTTGCGACCAACGCCTCTGCTACCGACTCAGTCGAATTCTCCTTATCTTTCTTCCGAAGCTGATAATTCACCAAAGCAGCAGTGACCTCACTATACGAAAGGGATACCTTCCCATTAATAAGAGTAAGGACGAATGTCTCATATTCCTCGTCGGGCAAGGAACTCAATAGCAACAACGCCTTGTCCTCATCTTCAATTATAACATCCACGTTCGCCAAATCCGCAAGAAGCTTTGTGTAGTGGTTCATGTAATCTCTAATGGAGGTTTCCTTCTTCAACTGAAAACGATAAAGTCTCCTCTTCAAATGCAAGCGGTTCTCAACACTCTTTGTCGGATACTTGCTTTCGAGAATCTCCCAAATCTTCTTTGCAGAAGTCACATTCATCACATCATATTTTAGATCTTGAGTCAAACAAGATCTAATCACACCACACGCCGTTCGATTCATCTTCTTCCAAACCTTCTCTTCAATCTCCTCTGGCTTGCCATCTAACTCCAATGTATCCTCCAAATTCTGCGCGTTCAGCGCATCCAAAACCTCGTATCTCCATAAACTAAAGTTGTTTGTGCCATTAAATTTCTCCACATCTATCTTCATAGAGTGGATATTCAAACTCTGAATAGTCTTCACGCCAGAAGAACCACCCTCGACACCTGAAGCACCTTCTTTCCCCGACATCTTACGCACCAACGAACAAAGAATAGATCCAAACTAAAAGATAGAGTCTTTACCAAAAGATCCCACCTTTATCACCAACGAAGTCCTAAACGGGCTTCCAAATTGATCTACTCCTCCAACCAAACCCTAGATCTGGAATCTGGGCTCTAATACCACTTGTTGTGGGCAGCGGAAATTTCGGCAGAGTTTCTGGTGCACAATAAGAGAGAAAGATCGATAAGAATCCTTGTTTCTCAAAGGGAACAAGAATCTGAAGCCTAATATCCCATTAAAGTGGGATATTTGCTCTTCCTCTCGTCAGCTCTAGGACTGCGCGTCGAGGGATCCTAAAAAACTATTACAATGGCCACAAACTCAAACAATCAATTTTTACGTGGTTCAGCAAACTGCCTACATCCACGGGGCAAGGAGGGTGAGATTTACTATTAAAGAGAAAAAGAATACAATAGGTTTACAACTCTCACAATCTAAACCCTCAAATAGGCTCCTTACTTTTCTTCACAAGAAAAGACCAGCCTCCAAATACTTTTTCTCTCTTCACAAAACCCGAGACAGCCACCTCTCTCTCTCTCAGCACTGTAGCCGCCAAAAAGAAGAAAATTGCTGACTGCTGCACTCCTTCGCACAGACGAAAACATAGGAACCTGAAGCTATATATAGCTTCGAATTCGAGTTGGGTGGGCCTTTCCCTTCACGCGGTTTGCATCAAAAGTTTCTTCACGTGTTGAACTTCACGTGGCCTGGCCTACCACTTTTCTTCACGCGGAAACGAGGCCGCGCTGGATTCGTGGTCACGTGGGTCTGGCCCACCTATTCTCTTCACGCGTTTACATGTGGAAGGAGTTTAAAATGAAAGTTCAAAGTTTCCAAGAACATACAAAAAGAGCTTACCTACTAGGAGTGCATTCGGTTCGGATAAGACTTGGGTATGATACTTACTATATTCATATCCGCTTACCCATATCGGATACGGATACAGATACAAATATATGTCGGTAAGAAAAATTCATAATCATATCCGCTAAAATCAAATACGGTTACGGATATACAAGCGGATATATAAACAGATATGCATGCGAATATAAAACGAATATAAAAAACTAGATATTACTCAGAAAAATATAGTTCATGTGATACAAAAGAGTTCGTTAATATGTTCATTATAACTGAAAAATTAAGATTAGACATCTTGATCATCAAAATAAACCGCAAATCCATAATATAAGAATCGAAACTACCGTAAGAGTATGACTAATATGTATTCGGATATTTCGGATACGAATACAGATATTTCACTACAAAAACATATCCGTAACCATATCTTATAGGTTATGGGTTTGAGTAACCATATCCATATCCTAACGTATATGATTACGTATATTTCCTCGGACATGGATACCGTTTAGCATCTCTATTTACGGTACCTACCCTTGCAAAGGTTAAACAAGCTTCCATTTGCAAAACTGTAAACTATCCCGAACTTATTTACAAATTCCTCGACAACAATCACGACAGTACGGTTAGTGTCACAACTCGCTGCATCTCCATCGACAAGATCGACATTTTTATTGGGAGAATTTTTTGCAAACAATCCTTTTTAGACTAATATTAGCAAAAACGACCGTATTTGAACAAAATGAGCAAAAACGATTCTCTTTAGCCCACGTTAGATGAAAGCGGTCAATTTTATAACAGGAAGAGTTTTTTTTCACATTAGTGGCTGTTAATCAGTGGCTGTTAATCAAAATTAAACCCTAATTCTACTCATTCCATATCATTCATCAAAATTAACAACAAAATAGAGAAAATTTTAACCTTGATTGGAGCTTGGTGGATGTGGTCGGAGGCGGTTGTTGTCACGAGCTTGGTCGAAGGCGGCGGCGGTCAAGAGCTTCGTCGTGAAGTCCGTTGGAGGCGATGGTGGTCGATAGCTTCGTCGTGAAGTGCGTTGGAGACGGCGGTAGTTACGAGCAAATCCAACAAGAAGGAGGTCGGTTTTCGGGAGGGGGTCACAAGATTTTTTAGGAAATGAAGTGGGGTATGAGGGTAGGTAGAGGTGGCCGGGAGTTATATTCGCGAATTAGACATGACTGCTAGTCTCATGTAATTCACGTGGTTAATTACCCTTTGTAATTACACGGGACTAGCCATCCAGTGTAATTAACTTCTCCCCTTGCACCTCATTTTGTTCAAATACGGTCCTTTTTGCTAATATCATCCTAAAAAGGGTTGTTTTCAAAAATTTCTCATTTTTCTTTCGTTTTTGTAGAGAGAGAGAGAGAGAGAGAGAGAGAGAGATATGGGGGTTCCGGCTTTCTACCGATGGGTCGCCGATCGCTACCCTCTCTCGATCGCCGACGTGATCGAGGACGAGCCCATGGAGGTGGATCGAGGCGTCGATCTCACAAAACCTAACCCTAATGGCGTCGAATTCGATAATTTGTATCTTGACATGAACGGAATCATTCACCCCTGCTTTCATCCCGAACGAAGGGTAACAATTTCTCAATTTCTCGTATCTCTTATTAATTTTGGTTCATTAGATTTTCTGCTGGTTGTTGATTGTTTGTTTTTGGTATGGACTGTCCATTTTCGTGACTTAAGGAAATCAGTTAGTCTCTAGAGTGATTATGCACCACTTAATAGGTTAGACCCTAAGTTCTTTCTTATTTTTAATTTTGTATTAGGCTTTTCCAAATCTTTACATTTGTGATTTACACACCTAAATTCATTATATGTTTTGAAAAAAACACCCTCTTATTTGCAATTTGCAACCCCGGACACATTAAGTAGTTTAAATAGGACAAATTTTCAAAACAGTCCCTTTTGGACTTTTAATCCCAAACAACGCCCTATTTTGAACTTAATTACGAAATCCGACCTGGTTTCAGCCTCAGCGCTGAAATCAGGTCAGTTTTTGTAAAAAAAAACTTCCGAAACTTCACGGGACTTCAAGTCCCGTAAAGTTTAGCAGCCAAGTTGTTAAGTTGCACAGCCGGCTTTCCAAGGAAGATTTTGAACCTGCCCGTTTCCATGCTTCTTCTTGAAGTTATCCCTAATATGTCGCAAGCAATAGCGATGTGCATGTGACGACGAAAAGTGTTGTTGGAGTGTTTTTGGAATTCCTTTCATCATATCTGATATGAATGTAATCACCCGTGCCCCCACACTAGGGATATGATATCTAATGCATGCAAAAAACCACGCCTAATTCACTGTGTTTTCAACATTAACTACTGCAAACGTCAAAGAAAATAATTCGTCATCTACGTCAATTCCGATTGCAACAAGCAAAACGCCTTTGTACTTACCGTACAAATGGGTGCCATCGATACTAAGAATAGAAAGATAATATCTGAAAGCCTCAATACAAGGCCAAATGCCCAAAATACACTTGTGAATCGACATTCTCCGCCATCAACAGGTTCTGATGATAATTCATAAACATCCCCGGATTTTCTCTTTCGAGTGCTTCGAGATAATATGGTAAGATCTCATAAGATTTATCCCAATCCCCAAATATTTTTATCATCGTCTTCCTCCTAGCATTTAAACACTTGTTGTATGATACATCCAAGCCGCACACAGTATACACTAGAATACAGATATCCTTTTGGCCTTAGATCAAGATTGTCCCTTAGATACGATAAAATCAATCGATATATAAAAGAAGAGGACGCATGCTTGTTATTCATCTCTAATCGAGAATTGCTACATGTGTGGAGTCCGTTGTAAGCCGTGATTTTAAATTGCCTGCCTACTCTTACACCCGAACGTGAATTCAGCTTCCAAGAACATTTCACATTTCCGTCGTGGTGTCCACTGTTATCTTCGTCTTCTCCATCTTCGTGATAAAAACAAATCACATTATAGCTTGTTGTGTTATTTTTTATTGGTCTAAACTTGATATTTTTTCAATGGCATACAACCGAAGTGCATGGATCAATGTCTTCTTACTTTCAAATAAATCCCCTTTCATGAATGAGAAGTCCTCGTCTTGTGTATCATTAACGATATTAGTGCCGATAGGAATACTTTTCATCATGGAGTTACCAATCCATTTTTCTTCTTGAAGTTCATCGGGCGGTGGATCCTCTAACATGACATAATCATTATTAGTATAACATCCGTCAATGTGTTAGTTGTCCGTTTCATCACGATCTATCAACGTCATGCTATTAATTTGTAAGCCGTCCTTTTCATCACCATCATCGGATTCGACACTTGCATTATCATCTTGATGGGCTGTGTTAGTACCGAAAGCATTTGACATGCCCACAAACGAAGGACCGCTCATGTATTGTGACTGTGTCCAGTCTTCATCTTGTTGCGGAGATAAAAAGCTGACGGAGTTAACTTCAAGGTCCTCCAATATGTGGGAATACATTCCGTCGTGATTCACCGATTTACCCAAATTCCTCTGATGTTTTTCAATAAACAATTCTGCCGAACGCTTCTCGTCGTGTAAGACTCCAATGAGACCCATATCATAGTCACTTGATATTTGAACGTCGCTTGTTCTATTCCCCCAACGGGATAATTGCAAATAACATTGAGTTGATACTCACGTGAGTTGGTTAATACAAGTTTGTGTAATTCATTAACCAATTCATCGAAAGTACACGACTTTGATATAAACAAGGGCTTCGTCACACCTCCTTCATAAACGGACATATTATTTTGGAGATAGTTAATCTTCCCATCATATGAACAAAAAACTAGGACTCGATTGTTCATCGTTACCCCTGAGGAGTAAAAAATTCAATATTAATATTAGAAACTCATAATTTTACATAGTGAATCTCTTTGATCGATATTAGAAATTTTAACCAAAATGTTAGCCAAGATATTGAGAAAATTTTAACCTAATTTTAATATTAGAAATTTTAACCAAATGTCAAGCCTTAATATTAACTTCACGGTTACAAATTTCAATATTTTCCCCTCTAACCTCATACACAATATTGTTTAATTTTTCTTCACAAAATGCCCAACATATTTCCAAATTTATTTTAAAAGCTAATTTCTTACAAGTAATCATCAAGATATTGAGAGAATATATAAAAAATTAAAATAGATTTTTTTTAAAATTTTACCTTAATTTTTTGACGATGCCCTAATTCCGGTGATCTCCGACGGTGACGATGGCGGTGATGGTCGACGGTGGGGACGGCGTCGGCGTGGGGAGGTGAGGTGGTCGGGTGAGGATGGACGGAGCTAGGGTTTTGGGAGAGAGAGATAGAGAGGGTCGGGTGAGGTTAGGGTTTTGGGAGAGAGAGAATGTTGGGTTTCAAGGGAGAAAGGGAGTTGCGTTTTTATAGGAGGGCAACTCAATTCCACGGGACTTGAAGTCCCGTGGAGTTACATGGTAGATTTTTCAGAGAGTCGATTCTCTAGAAAAATCAACCTCAAACTTCACGGGACTTCAAGTCCCATGAAGTTTTTGAGTATTTGTTCGAACGTTAAAAAATCTTCACGGGACTTGAAGTCCCGTGAAGTTTAGCAGCATAACAACTTGGCTGCTAAACTTCATGGGACTTGAAGTCCCGTGAAGTTTCGAAAGTTTTTTTACAAAAATCGACATGGTTTTAGAATAAGTCGGTTTTTGTAATTAAGTTCAAAATAGAGCGTTTTTTGGGATTAAAAGTCCAAAAGGGACTGTTTTGAAAATTTGTCCAGTTTAAATAATACCACTGTTTTGAAGAAGAATGAAGATTGAGGGCGAAACTTACAATTTTTAAGATTGGGAGCCGAATATAATACAGAATAAAATTTATTGCCTAATATGAGAAAAAAAGTTGTTTGTTTTTGTGCATTTGTCCATATGTAGTTGCATTCACCATTAATATGGGCATTTCAATACCACTAAAAATTACGGTGATAAGCCTAGGACTTAAAATTGAGTGTGATGCATATGCAGCTATCTGAAAGTTGTTGCCAAGTGTAGTTCATCTAATTGCTGAAATCCTCTCCTGTCATCTACCTTACTTTATATCATAAACAAATTCTCAAAATGGTTAAACCTGCAATAGACTCATATTCTGAAGTTTAATGAACTTTAGTATTTACACACCTGTTCAGTGTTATCAAAGGTGCGCGCCTGATTGCTAGTTATGTGCCCTGTGATGCGGGGCGGTTGCGAAGCGTCCTGCATTTGACGCGTCAGCGCCTTTTTGTGCTTCACATAGACGGCATTCAAGGCATAGCTTCATACAATTATGTTCCTTATACCCAATAATTCATTGCGCCTTTTGCACCCTGTGATGTGGAGCGGTGGCAGAGAGCAACTGACGCAGTAGCGCCTTTTTGTGCTTCGCACAAGTCACATTCAAGGCATTGCATCATATAATTCTATCCTTTAACATTTCAATCGGGTCCTTATACCCAATAACCCATATCCTGAAAAGAAAATTTACCTTATTTGGTCATTTTAGTAGCCTGCTCTCATTTACAATTTGATTTTGTTTCATTATTAATCTTGATTTGACCTTTGGTTGGAAGCTTATGAACTTTACTTCTGTGTTGGATGTGTTGGCATTATGAATTAAGATGTTATGGTGTGATTTGTTAGTAGATACTATCTATGTTGACATAATTTTTATGTGAAATTCATAAACATGTTCTTTCATGTTTGAGTATCTATCTTAAAAAAGTATTCACTCGGGCTCGCACATTGCCTCACACTTTGCGCAAGTGCGCGTAAAGAGACTTTGTGCTCTACATTGCACATTGCGCATCGATAACACAGTCTACATTGCACATTGATAACACAGGCTACATTGAAAGTTCCTCCCACACCCATCCATACTTCGGAAAGGAAAAATCGGCATGTAACCATTAGTACTCACTACTCACATTGTTCTGAGCATAGGGATAATTACAGACTCGTATAGGGTTGTTATTACTCATTTCTATATTGTAATTTGTAAGTTGCAAGTCTCGTATAAAATGTGGAACATTTCATGCAACCAGCAAGTGAGTCAATCAGTGAAAAGTAATCAGGAGTCTGTTCTGTAACTCACTGTAACTCAAGTATTTATCATATCGTTACATCATTTATAGAAGCAGGTGGATCATTTGTTATGTCCTTCCAATCACAACATGGTTGTCTGCATAGTACAAACTCATAACTAGATTATCAAATTTTATTAGAAAGTTAGCCTAGCTTAGATTGGTGTTATTGTCTAACTACTGAACAGAGAATGTGTCGAGGCTAGTGCTTATCACAATCTCTGGAAGTCCAATTGTCTGATGGCCGACCTTGATTTTTGCTAATCAGTTAACCAATGCAACCTAGGATTTAGCCTCCAAACTTCTTCGAAATAGAGAAAAATCTGATAGGGAGCACTATTTTAAAAAGCCTCCGCTTAGTCCGCCTAGTACCTAAGCCACCTAATTAGCACCTGAGCGGTATCTAAGTTGTCCATCTAGATTTTGAGAGTGTTTAGAGCAACATTGTTTGCTTACATGGACTGCATCCTTTAGAAATTGATCGTAATTTTCTGTGTTGCAGCCTCTACATCCTTTAACCTCCTTCAAGCTCCTTTAACCTCCAAATATGAATACCTCCACTACATCCTCTGACCTTTAGCAAAATCTCATCTATCACCACCTAAATGAAGAAAGAAATCCGCTTAGACATCAGTCCGGCATCTAAATTTTCTATAACATTGACGTTTACTATCAATTATTGTAATTAAAAAATAAACATCTCCTAGGCTCTAGCCGTCGGGTCCAATGTCTAGGTCTCCTAGCGTTTTTTATAACATTGTTAGTTATTATTTTGGCTATTAGTATTTAAGTATGCATAGTTTATTGTGAATCTAATATTGCTATCTTTTTTTACAAATTTATATGAATTTATGTTTGTCAGAAAAAAATTAAAGAAGAAATGAGAGGAAATGTATTTGTATTAATCAACCTAAATGACTTAGGAAAAGAGTAAATACAATCTCTCATAGTAATCTCTCTCTAACTGACTTAGAAAAAAAATTATAATTTCTCTTATTGATTTTTCGATTTACAAAAGAGAGAAAGATCGACAATGACCTTTCCCTTTGTTTAAAGCTGGGTTCTTCTTGGTGACGATGAGAGTTTGATTATTGTATCCCGTTGACGATCCGAGCACTTCACTTCGTGGAACGTTAGTCTATTCCTCTTGACTTGATGTCAGGAAGAACTTGTAAAGCAAGTTTAGAACTCTAAATGAGTTTTAGAGGAACTTGCCGAGCAAGTTTTAAACTCTAGGCGAGTTTGAGGAGCACTCGCCGAGCAAGTTTTAAACTCTAGCCAAGTTAGGAACTATTGGGAAGAGTTGATTTGAGAAATAAAATTAATCATTTTTAGCCAAAAAAGCCTATCTCAAGAGATAATCGAAATGGGTTCAAGAAGCCATGCCAAAAGTTCTCAAAAGCTTCCACAAAAGCCAATCAAAGATGATTCAAAAAGAGAAGAATCCCTTTTGTAGCTGACTTCTCAGCTATTTATAGGGGTTTAAGGGGTGTAACTGACCCCTTAAATCGTTCCTTAATGAGGGTTTAATGCCCTTAATTTGTGTAAAACAGTTTTGGAACTGTCTAAAATGTGTTTGAATGAGTCAAACGCGAGATTCGCGTTCTGGGAATGAGCCTCGCGTTTAGATTATAAAACACGGTAGTGAGCTTCGCGTATTGGGCTGAAAACGCGGTAGTGAGCTCCGCGTCGATCTTGGAACGCAGCGATGAGCTCCGCATTTTGCTTTGAAGAGACTATCAACTTGTAATCTCGTTTGTTAGAGCGTTACAAAGATTGTCATCTTGTAATCCTGACATTTGGCTCTCTGAGGTGTGAGAGTTGTCAGTTGTAACCCTCAAAAGTCGTCAGATTGTGACCTTCGTATGTTGTTGTGAAAGTCGTCAGATTGTAACTTCTGTAATCAGTGTTTTGCGGGGATTAACTATCTACAGTGATTTTTTAAGCAACCTACAATTTAATGCATATTTTTTTTATCAATTATTATAATTAAATAATTTAAAAAACACCGACATGCGTAGGCATCTAGGCGCTGGTTCAAACACCTAGTCCGCCTAGCGCATTCTGTAACATTGGTAGGGAGAAGACGATAATACAAGGAATTGTATTCAACTTTTGAGTATAAGATAAAGGTCGAGAGCCTAATAGAGAAAATTCTATTTTAGGGGAAAAAATATATCAAAGTGTCACTTTGTGTTAAGTACAGATTTAAACTATATCAAACTGTGTCTTTTGAACTATCGGTAGTGAATACTAACTCCACTGTTTTCCCATTCAGCCTTCACCTACCTCTTATCATGAAGTTTTCAATTCTATCTTTGGCTATATTGATCATATATTTGGGCTTGTTCGCCCCAGAAAGCTGCTGTACATGGCAATTGGTGAGTTTCAGCAAGGTTTTTTATTTCCTCGTACTTAAATCCAACTGTCTTTTGGTTGTCTACAATTCTCATTTGTACATTTGGCCATAAACATTTCAGATGGTGTAGCTCCCAGGGCTAAAATGAATCAGCAAAGATCTCGGCGTTTCAGAGCTGCAAAAGATGCAGCTGAAACAGTAAGCATATACTTTTTACTTATTTTGGACTACTACGTGTCCATTATTCTATTCCTCAAATGATGGATCTCTTAGGCCGCAGAAGAGGAGAGACTGAGACAGGAGTTTGAGGCTGAAGGAAGAAAAACATTTAAAGAGAAATCTGAAACATCCGACTCTAATGTTATTACTCCTGGGACTGAGTTCATGGCTTCCCTCTCTGTTGCACTTCAATATTACATACATTTGAGATTGAACCGGACTCCAGGATGGCAGTCTACAAAGGTAGGGATCTAGATGTCAATTATGCAGCGCCATTCAAGTCCTTGCTCAACCTGGCCATTCTTTGCACAGCAATGTAATCATTGCTGGTTTTCTTTCAATTGCTTTGGTTTTCAGGATACTTATTACTCTAAATATATTCATGGAGCTCTCCATTGGGTGATTATGTGAAGGTAGTCTTATCTGATTCAAATGTTCCTGGCGAAGGAGAGCACAAAATCATGACCTACATACGGCTGCAGCGTAATCTTCGTGGTTTTAATCCAAACACGCACCATTGTCTATATGGATTGGTGAGTTCTTCACATAACATTTACACTTCTGACTCGTTGTTTTGAAAAATTTCTCCCTCTTTTTTCTATTCCCACACCACCGCCATCGTCCAGACCTTTTTTATGTGCAGGATGCAGATCTGATAATGCTCTCTCTTGCTACACATGAAGTTTATTTCTCAATTTTAAGAGAGGTATGTAAATGCTTCCTGCATCTTTATGAGAGAAATATATATTTCATAAATGCATGTGACCTTTAATATGTTTCCATACGCAATGTCTTCTTTATGGGTAATGCTTGACTGGTTATACAGGTGGTTACAATGCCAGGGCAACAGGAGAAATGCTTTTCCTGTGGTCAAGTTGGACATCTTGCAGCTGAATGTAGTGGATCCGAAGCAAATGACAAGATTTATATTCCCATTCACAAGAAGAAATATCAGGTGACTTTTCGGATGTGAAGCATGTTTATATTTCAATTCTGAAATTCATGTTTTGGCTTTTTTTATACAATTTCTATTAGTTATATATCATCACGCGACTTATTCTTTTCTTCTGTTGGCAGTTCCTGAACATCTGGGTCTTGCGGGAGTACTTGGAGAATGATCTGGCCATATCAGATCCTCCGTTTGAGATAAACTTTGAACGTATTGTGGATGATTTTGTTTTCATGTGCTTCTTTGTGGGAAATGACTTTTTACCACACATGCCCACTCTTGAAATCCGTGAGGTTCATAACAGGCCTTATCACGTTCTTGAAAATTTTAAGCTTGACGCCTGACTTCTTTCACTTCATTGTTGAGCACACATTTATTCGCTGTATATCCTGAGCTTGAATATGTCGAGTTGCTCATATCTTATTTCCTGTGATCTCTTTGTGTTTTAGGGCGCAATCAATCTGCTCATGTTTATCTATAGAAGGGATTTCTCAGCGATGGGCGGTTACCTCACTGATGCTGGGGAGGTAATTTTTCTCTTATCAGACAACCTCTTTGATTTTTATTTAGAGGTAGCACATTTTGTTAAATTTCATGTTTTTGGGAATTGCAAGCCTGTGAACCTGCATTGGTTCTCTTTTATTTTTGTTTATTTCGATCCTGAGGCTTCATAATGACTATCACTCATGTTGCTCATGGACTAATAGTGGAATTGTTATTCACTGTAGGAGATGTAAACAATTGCATACCGTTAGGTCATGATTCACGAGATCAAAATATAACCATCTAGGAAGAATACCGTACTTTGAATCTTCCATCAGAGTAAAAAAGAACAAAAAATAAACAAATGAAGCCAGCTAAGAAAGTTAAAAAAAATCTGTATCTCAGTTAAAATTTTTAAAGATAGAAAAGAGCATACTTCTGGAACCAGCTAAGAGTATAACTTTCACTCTCTATGCTTTCCTGAAAAGAAAGAACTTCTGTCTCTTTCGGTGCTCTGATCCCTTGCTCCGTGATTTCTTCTTCTATGACACTTCCCGTCCATTAGTCCAGCTCTTCATCTAACCCTCAATCCTCATCAGGTTATTATAAAAGACAACAAGATAGTAGTAGTGGAGATCATCTTTAGAATTGTTGCAATGTATCTAATGGTAGAGATTAAGTGAGCTGCAAAATCTCTGCTCTCAGTTTTTTGTATGTCTGCTATCCTTGGGTCCTCCATATTTATAGTATAGAGTCAATTACTTCTACTGCGGGTTTGAAATCTACATTTATGCTCTTCAGGATGTTGAAGTCATGTAGTCCAATATCCTCAGACAATGATCCACATGGACTATATATTGTTAGGTTTCTGGTGTCAAATTTGTTGTGCTTGATTTATTTTCTCCATAGTTGAATATCTTAACAAGATTGCATGCAATCTTATTCTCTTTTGTTGGACATGATCTGAAATGATTGTACTTAGGATTTTGTTATATTTGATGATAAGTTCTCACTCCAATCTCCTTCCCGCCACCCAAAGCAAACAAACAGACAATACAACCTTCCTAAAAAATAAACATAGAAGTTGAATTGCACCCCTTTTTGGAGCATCAATGATGAAACCATTATTAGATATGCATATTTATTGACTTTCCCTGTAATTTATGATACATGGTATTGCAGTTTTTAAGGTCTGGTTATTTGATGTGTTAGGTGTCTCTGGAGAGGGTCGAGCATTTTATTCAGTCAGTTGCAGTTTATGAAGAACAAATCTTTCAGAAGCGTACACGTATTCAACGGGTGAGCACTGTTGTGGGCAATCTTATCTTTGTCTAATCGCTTCCTGCATGTTAGTTTTTTTAGCTATGAATTCTTCCTTGCATGTTATCGAATTATTATATTATTTTCTACTTTCTTAGATTATGGTTTCTTTTTTCTTTGCAAGGTTCCTGTATGAAGTTTTATTATTTAGTAGACCAGTGCGAACAGTCACACCATATTGTGCAGCAGTGAACAATACAACGTAGGCTAAAAATTGTTGATTTTCTTATTAGCAGCAGTAGGCAATGGTTTAATAGTTTTACTTGATCAAGGGGGAGTTATTCTGTCTACTTCCGTTGATGCTAAAGGAACAGTGAGAGCATCAGTTTGCAGGGTATTACTAACCTGCAAGGTGATCCTTCGATCTATAACAAAGGCCTGCTTGGAAGCAATAACTCTATGTAGCATAGGATTGTTGTTTCTTCGCTTCTCTTTTTACATGAGGATTACTCGGATATCAAGACAAACCGGCCTTTATACATTTTGTTACACTATTTCCTTAGTGTGCTTCTAATGGCAGTATTGGAAATAATTACTCTTATTAACCTTTTCTTTATCGTTCATTGCCTTTGTTTTTATCACTGTCAATCCCTCTCTGATCTTAATGCTTATAAGAACGATCATTGTTTATCGAAGCATATCTGAAAGACATGTCCTATCCTATGTAAAAAGACATCATAATTTGGACTTTGCAGATATACCTCAAGAGTCCTGGCATCTTTAGTTTCTTTTTGCTTAACTTATTTTTTGAGGTCTTTGGCTTCTGAACTGAGATAACTAGCTATTGGTTATTTTTTGGCCTTTTTTTTGCGGGATTTTTAATCTAGCATGAAACTGTGGCCTTTTCCCTTACTTTGTTTGGTTGTCATTACTTTTCACTTGTCTTTGCACTTTTACCTTTTAAAACCCTTATTTCTGTTTTTTAGTTGGACACTCCATTCTTTCCAGTTTTGTACCCTTTTCATTATTGTCTTTTAGTTGAATGGGCAGAACTAATTTCTAGAAAATGTTTTTTTACCCATTTTTTTTTCAATTCTTACGTCAGGACTAGGCTCGTGTGTCTGGAGGGTAGGGGTGGTTTAGACATGACATTTGTTCTCAAGAAATGAGGGAAGTCACATATTAGATTTACCAAAGTAGATTTTGCTTTAAGATTGAAGACTGGCAAAGCGAGAGGGAGTGGTTGATTACTCATCATAACATTCAGTATTATGTTATATCACAATGTATGGTCAGGGAATTTAAGTCACTCTTTGTTATTCTTTGTTTTGGATTATCTATTAGCGGTTGGCTAAATTGCACATAGGCCCCATCTAATATCGTGTTGTTCCACTTATGCACACAGTGGGTGAAATTTCTGACTCTATTACCCTCAGGGGACCTATCTCCAAAATGAAAAATTATCTTTCCCTCCCTCCCTTTCACCCACTTACCTACCCCCTGGATATCATTGATATTAATATTCCAAAATTTTTATTCATCTAGCTTCATCAACTCATTCTAGAAAGTTCAGAATGTTGGTTGAGAATTCATTTGAAATGGAATGTAGACCGTGTTCTACGAAAAGATTCTGTAAGCAACTTTCATACCTATTTTAGCTCCAGTTCTGCCTGTTTCATTTGAAAAATGTTATCTTGGACCACATCACCTGGCTCATTGATGGATGAAAGTGGGCTGCAGCTCTTCTTCTTCATTCAGGAGATATCCTAAGTTTCTATACAGTTCTAGATTGTTATATCAACCCATGGATCTGTATATTACAAGCGTTTCTAATTTATGAAAATGTGGTTACTAATTTAGAATATGTAGTGTGATCACTAAAGTAATGTCTAGTAGCACCGTAGCGCGCATTGTTTTATATATCCCTGGGATGGCTGATTATATTGGCCGATATATTCTTTTATAAGGCTTCCAACAAAATGGCATGATCTTAATATCATTTACCTCTTTTGCAAAATTTGGGCAATATTTTATGATTTTTCTGATATATCTGGTTGAGATTTCGGTCACAAAATTGTCCGAATTGTCGCAATATCGATTTGAACTTTTATTTGTTTTAAATGATTGATTTGGATTTATAGTTCAATAGGGGTCTAAACCCAAAAATATCTACTTATGTAAATAACAGAAAAGAAGAATTAGGGCTCGCTTGAGACAAATTCGTTTGCAAAGCTTATCACATGATACCACCTTTCTCCATAGCTCCATGCCCTGGTGCATCAACTACATCAAGTACGGACATCTATGATATGATCACCCCAATATTTATTAAATATCTCCTATATATACCCACATCCGCCATCAGATATGTAATTTTCTCCGACATGTCCTCAACATCCGACATTTATAACATCGGTAGCAAACTGTTTTTTCACATGTTTTTTGTTCCCCACATAAACTGAAATGTCATTATCTGAAATCTGAATGGTGTAACTGACCTTCTTGTGTACAGTTTTTAGCACATGCATTAGGTCAAATTTCTAGGCC